TTTGATTATATTATTATATATATTTATATAAAATAATATAATATATTATATATTGTATATATTTTTATTATATAATATTATAAATATCTATTATATAAATTTACAATAAAATATATACATTTTATATATGGGGGGGGGGGTGTGGGGGGGTTCATACAAAAAAAAGTTCCAAGTTTAAGTTCCAACCCTTGGGTTGTAACTTTTTTTTTAAAGCAAGATTGGAACTTGAACAGTTCCTTGAAGTTTTGTTTGAAGTTCAATTTTTTTATCAAACACGAAACTTGAACAGTATTAAGAAGTTCTAAACTTCCAGGAAGACACTTCCTGTTATCAAACACGCCCTAACGGTAAGAGCTAGGGGAAGAAGAAGAAGAAATGTATTTTTTGAGAAGAGTTAACTTAGAAAAAGAAGAAAAAATGTTAGGAAACCAAATTGCTCAATGGCACATCTATACCCTATGTTAAATCTAAAATAAGGAGGGGCACAAGAAAAATTTACTTTCAATGTATAGAAATTCATTTACATACCAGTGCATGGAAACAATTTTTCCCTTTATTCAAACCATCCTGCAAACATGTAACAACACACTTACAAGTATACAAGAGAACTCTTACATAGTAGTTATAGCTTGGGTTCCTACATAGTAGTTATAGCTTGGGTTCCTAGACACTCTGAATACATATCTCATATTTACTACACACAGTTATAAAGGTACTCGAGAATCAAGTGCTCTTACACATTTCACTCACACACATCTCACACTTACATACATTTGTTGAATGAAGAAGAATGTTAACATTTCTGTAATGTCTCTCTACAGCAATACAACTGTTAACATTTCAAAAAAAAGAAGAAGAAGAATGAGAGCTCTCTCCTCCTTGTATAGGCATGAGAGGAGAGCCTTTCATCATTACAAGAAGGAAGAAATGGGAGAAGGTGGAATATTAGTGGAGTGAGTGGCTCAGAAGTTAGGTGTCCCCGCTTGGCTTGGTAATTGTCCAGACCAGGAAGGTGTTCGGCAGTGTCCAGACATTCCTCTGCCAATTTTCTTCAGGAACAGTTGAAACTACTTCATCAAACTCATTGGCTTCCCATCATGGGGGAGTGTTTGACTCGATCCTTGCTCATCATTGCATTGCTAGTGTTCCTTGTACAGGCTCCGTGTCTTTGGCTGATCTGATGAAATATTCTCAACTCAGGAAATCTGGAAAGGAATTCAACTTGCCTAGGAATAGTCTCAATTTCAGAATCGTAGAGGAAAAAAGTTGGCCTGCCATCAACAGATCTGGGTTGGTGCCAAATCTTTAGCATCCTTTTCTAGGATGCCTATTAATGGTTTGTAGTCCACCCCTAATTTAAATATTTGATTTATAGGATTTATTTGGAATTTATTTCTCAAAAAATATTTATTTGGAATTTTTGGATGGACTTTAGGGCAGCTAGGACCTCTCTTTTGACCGGGGTGTATTTTGTTTGGGCACCATTCCAGGTTCCAGAACCAAACTAGACCGTTTCTTCCTCCTTTTCCCTTACTTGATCCAGGACCCCCCCCCAACCAATAACAGGACCCCTTCCTTATTTTGGTTTTATATTTACATAGATCTGTATATCATTTTTCTTGTTTCCTTCTTTGTTCTGTGTGGCTCACCTCCCATCCCAAAGAGTATCTTGTTGCTTGAATAATGGGTTTAAATTGTAGAATGAAGATTTCTGACTTATGTTTAGGCTGATGGGAGAATGATCATTTGTATTTAAAAAGGGTCAAAAGTGACCCTTGTTTAAATTGGGATAATAAGAAAATAGTACCTTACTTGGAGAGATGTTAATGACCATTCCAAGATAGAATTAATTATTCCATAAATAAATGCTCAAACCCTGAAAAAAGCTATTTGCTTTTTCAATGAAAGATATGGTAAAATAATGAATATACATATGATATTCTTTGAACATTTGAACTGCGAGTCTCCATGTTGTTCATACTAAAAAATCACTTGGGAAGTGGCAAACTTAGCCAAATTTATTTACAAATCTTAGCAAAAATTTTCATTCTTTCTTTGTTTGTTCTCTTTTCTAAATTTTTCTGGAAGTGATGAAAGCATTCAATTATATCACAGACTCGAAGTAGTCAAGTCCAATTTATCTGCTTGCTAAACAAGTAAAAGTTCTAGTCATGGGCTCTAATCCTCAAGGATTTCCATGCATTTGGGTTGATGACTTGATGTGAGCATAGACATTCTCAAATCTCAAGATCCGAGTCTAGCTCGATTTAACAAGCCAAGCTAATAGAGGAATCCCTAGAGTTCAACTTCAACGCAAGATCCATTGAGAAGGCAACCCATTTGGTGTAGTTGGTCTTTTCAGGGATAAACTTTCATAAGGTCTACTATGGCCTGGTGGGGTTCAGTGACTTTACTCAAGTGAAACCCGTATCTCATTTGGCATACCCTGTTTTCTCTCAGTTTTTCTCAGGGGTTTTTAATTGTGGAGGAGTGGCTCAATGTTATCAGGTGGATCGAGAGAAGCTGCACATGCATGGAGAATCACATATCTTATAGATGAGACTTTTGACACCAATGATCTAATGACAATCTCTTTACCAGGTACTTAGAGAAGCCAATAGTAAGGCTGGTTCATAGGGGAGAATCTCCCATTCTCTGACCCATCTTGTATATATGTTTTATTTGTTGATTGTATTTCTTGCATAACTAGATGGAAGCCCTGTAATTTTATTCTAAAGGAAAGTTCAACTATCAACTTACAAGCATCTCTCCCCTTGCTTGTTCTAGTGAATAAATCACTTGCATATTACTTGTGCTATGAGATTGCTTCCGATCGTCTTTCGAAAACACGATTAATATTGCAACTGATTTTCATTTTACATGTTGAAGTTTTCTTCTAGCTTCCTTCACCATGGATGAGGTGAGATTAAAATTTTAAATTCATAAAATGTCACTGCCTTTTCTGATGATAACAAGTAGGGTGCAGTTAGCATATGGATGCATCCGTAGCTGTAGAGATAAGGTGCACCTTCAAATTTTATCACGGTATATAATTTTGATGTAAAATGTTCTTAGAATTATCTCAAAATCTATTTTTATATCT